CGCCCGGGCGGCGCAGGGGGCCAGGCGGGGGGGACCGGGTGCAGTTCGCCAGTGCCGAGCCCCGGGGAGAAGCCCTGCGGGGAGCCCGCTCCGGTCTGTCTGCCCGGGTCTGCGCTGGGTCCCTCAGTACGTTTCCTGGAAAAACGGTGATGTCAGGGAACAGGGTGGTCAGCCAAGGTGTCATCAAGAACAGGACAGAGAGCACAGAAAAGTGGCCGTCTCCAGGAACTCGTTCAGAATTCATTTTCTATTGAGTCATCAGTGGATTTAAAAAATTGCAGAAGGAGAAATGTCTGTGCCGGCAGGAGCTGAGCAGGGCTTTCCTCCAGCAGAGGACAGCAGTGCACGCGGATCCTGCGGGCTCGCCGCGCGGCCCGCGGAAATCCAGCGCGACTTGGGTGCAGATGCCCGGGTGGGAGAGCGGTCGTGTTGTTGCTTTGTTTTGTAATAAACGTTTTAAGACGTGTTTGCTCCCGTGGAGAGTTCTCGTGTGCTGGATGCTGACAGAAACACAGCCTGGAGTGAACATTGACAGCCAGGTCCACGATGCGTTGTTCAGCAATGGAAAATGAAGCTGGCTGTGCCCAAAAGTTGTGGTCCAACACTCCCTGCCCGCCCGCAGCACGGGTCGCCTGGTGCTTCATGCAGAAGTTTAATCGTGTGTGTTCGGAAAGGAAGGCTGCTTGTCTTAGATTTTGGACTCCACACGGTTGCAAGGGTGAAATATCTCATGTCAGATATATAAATACATATATCAGATTGATATTGCCAAACGCCCGCAGGTTTGATCGCGTTCATTGGAAGCGCTGTGGGTGCTGGGGACGGGCGCACGCTTGGTTGATTGCTCTCAGCCTTAGCTGCGATTTTGTCTCTTCTCAGGGAGAAGACGAAGCTGTTACCCTCAAATCTTGCACGCGGCGGAAAACCGACTCGATCGAGAAGAGGTTTTGCTTTGATGTGGAAGCCGTTGATCGGTGAGTGCCACGGGGCCGCGCAGCCCGGGGTGCCGAAAGGACACACGCGCCAGGGGTCCGCTGGCCGTGCGCAGGGAGAGGTGACGCTCATCTGGACGTGGCTTTCCTGGGTAGTTCTCCTGCGGTTTCCATGCTGCTCCTCTCTTTTGGTCATACCCTCCACGAATGGAAAGCGTTAGGCCATGGGAACCCGCTGCTCCCTGGCGCTTTGGCCAGGTGCTCTCAGCGTGTGGAGTTAGTGCTTCGGTTTACAAGGTGCCAGGTTTACTCAAGTCTCTCTGATGGTGTTTTAGCACTTCTGCAGTCTCTGGCCATCTAAGGTGAATGGTTGCAAGGATGGAAAAGATGCTCTGTGGGTGTTTTGGCAGGGGTGCGGTGCCTCTTTCCAGCATTGGGTACGTGCTGGAGAGTGGCTGGTCTGCTATGGACGGGCGATAAGGGAAGTCCGGCTTGCACCTCCGCGCACTTTACGTTCACTTCTGTTTCCTGAAGCAGTGAAATGCTTTCTGATGTGATTTATCACATAGCAGCTGAACCAGATGTTTGTGTGGATTCAATCTGCAGCACCCAGGAATGAGAGCCTGGTATCAGATCTAATTAGCATCACGCACGGCTTGCGTATAGAAACAGGAAGACCAGGCTGGGGTTGCTATTCCAGGCGAATTAGTCACTGCCTGGGATCTTCCTCGCTGCAGGAAGTTGACATGGTTTACAAAAGCTCGCTCCAGAGTCCCCGAGTGTCTGTGCCCTCCCAGTGGTGTGCCTGCTCGTGTTCCAGCTCTCCTCCCCTCCGCTGGCCCCTACCCAGGAGGTCTTGGGAAAACCCCAGTTGATCAAAACCCGAGGTGTTCAGTAACGCTGGAACACGCTGCGGTACCTTTCCCTGCCCGGCCCGTGCTCCCGCAGCGTTTCGGTGCCAGCCCGGGGCAGGGAGGGGCTGGGGCGATGGAGCTCTGCCTGTGCTGGCCGAGGGATGAGCTAACCCCCAGGCTGCCTCCCGCTCTCTGGAGCTCTGCTTTCCTCCAGAAAGCTGCAGTATTTCTGCTGACATGGGGGTTTTTTTTCCTGTGCCCTGAGGATATTTTTTTTAAATGTGAAAATCAAAATAAAACTGGGAGGAGGAGAAGCCAGCCACCACAGCAATTTTCTTCTGCAGCATGTTCAGAGGCAGCTGAACCTTCCCTTGATGTCTGGAGCCTGCTAGGCATGGGATCAAGAGCTACTCCAGAAATATGCCTGCTAAATGTAAATAATGGCAGGGGAGCGGCAAGGGCGGGGAAACCTGAGAAATTGCTCATTTCATGTGCACGTTCCTGCTGCAAGAGATTGCCCGAGAGGACAGCGAGGGCAGAAAGCACGGAATGGAAGGCTGGTCTTCCCCCCAGCGTACAGGCAACTCGGCGTGTTTTTGGTGTCAGAAGCTGTCATTCGTTGTCTAAAATAATGGTTATTTCCAAAACAGTGAAGCTAAGCGGAGGCAACAGGTTTTCCCGTGGCTGGAAGAGAGCGGGATGTGCCCCCCGTCTCCCCCTCCCCGGGGCAGTCCTGCTGAGCACTGGGGCATCTGGACGCCGTCGGGGCTTCAGGTGACACTGTCAGTGGCCGGGGTTCGCTGGAGATCACCTCGCCCGGCGCTCGGGATGTGACCCGTTTTACAAAGCCCTGTGTATCGAGGAACG